TACCTATAGCTATTTATTCAGTTGGCACCCATCAAAATCGAATTCCGTGACTTATTTTCTTCATTTCCTGTCAACAGTGGGCCAAGTTATATTGCTCATGATAAAAATTCATTTTAGCGCAACAACTTCGACTAATCGGAGGCTAATGAAGCACGCCTCTATAGTCAAATTTCCAAAGTTCAAAATACATAATCAACTAATAATGAGCATTATTTGAATTGCCTTCACCCCAATAATTTTGCCTCATCACAAATTCAATACTATGTAATCTATATTATTTTGTACTGATTACCTTATGTGCAGTCAAACCTCAACTCAATATCGATGCCAGCCACCGTGCTGCGAACTCTGTCCAATCAAAATCTGAGGCTCAGGCAACTGCATCCCTCCGCCACACCTGCTGCTGCCGGCCACTTCAATCACCTCTCTTCCTCAGTCCCTCGACCCCCTATACCGTCTACCACCAAGAATGTCAAGGCCACTGCAACCGGACGACCTCACCCTTGCCGAATGTCTGCAAACAGACCTGCGCGTGCTCGTTTAGGCTGCCCTGCTCAGGCCAGATCAATGCATATGCAGAAGCGGGTTCCACTCAATCAAGTAAGATGCCCTCCCGACAATTCATATGTGGCGACGACTCCACTTGTGAAGATGACGCCATCCAGTCAGAACGGCGTAGCTTCTCATACGGATGCAGTGATGTCTCCGGATTCAATCCATGCACGGGAAGGTCCCTCCACGAATCCAGCTTCCAAAAAGCGAGCGAGTCCCACCAATTGTGCTCTAGTCTCGGCCCCACTGCGGAGGCTTCCCGCGCCATGCCACATACTTCCTGTCAGCGTGACCCCAGTTACTACAGCCTGGAGCCACAGCCATATATATGGTCATGCACAGAACATGTTGCGTGTGGCATTGCAACCACATATGCACACCCACCATTTCCACCACTACCACCATCATCATCACCACCAGCAACAACGGCAGTTACAGCAACAGAACAGTCAAGTGTCCCATTTAACTTGCCACGGACAACGACGGGCTCAGATTGCCAAGCCTCAGCACATACCACTCGACAGTCAGGCACCGACTGTTCTTCCACAGCCACAGAATGTTCTCAGACAATCTGTCTCCACCGATTGCCTTTGCCAATGACAGTCCGTCGAGAGTCAGAGCATGGAAATTGTGAAATCCGATGGGGCGAACTCTCACCTGCCCGCCAGCACATGC